CTTCCTCTTCAGATCTATGACTGAATTTAATAAGTGGTCATATGAATAAGTAGTATTGCCATTTATCTGTTGAGGTTTTGAGACAAAAGCGTATTTTCCCTTTTACTGTGCTCTGTTGTCAAACGAACGGTTCCCATTTCCGGTTTCATTTCCAGCGCTGGCGAGCTTGGCTTGTCCAAGTATCATTAGAAAAAACAATAAGATGACTTTTAGCTTAAAAACAAAATTAAGGAACTGTAAAGAAACATCTCTTTCTTGTATTACATAACTAATTATTTTAAACTCTTCTCAACTCTTTAAATCCTTCGTGAATACACGTTTATTATATTTTGACAAATATTCGATTTTACGAATTTTCATTTTTTTGTTTTATTGTTAACTCTTTGGCTATAATCATTTCTTCCATCAAAAATTTATATTTCTAAAAATAATCGTTTCCGTTAATAACTAAAAATGTAAAAACAAAAATGTAAAAAATTTAATCGTTTCCGTTAATACTAAAAATGTTCCGTTAATAACTATGTTCTGTTTAACTCACATAACGTCTAATAGAAGATATGTGGGTTAAACAGAACATCTGAATACTTTACTTCTAATGTAAATTTTTTTCACTAACGATTCGGGTCGATTGTCTTGTAACACTGGGGTACGGTACTCTTGGCTTAACTCAATATAAAGTTCGAATGTAGCTATAGATATGAATATTTAGCTAAGGAGTGCACGGAAGTTTGTTGTATTTTCCACCTTGAATTTTGAATATTGAACGCTTTTAGACTTTCACCGGAGAGCTAAGCAAAATTTTGCAACCAGCTTCTTTATCTGATTGTAATCATTCTCCTGCAAGAACGATATTGATTTTTCCTACTTTTAAAACAAATCTTGAAACTGTAAGGGAAAAAATGAAGTGGATATAAGACAATAAAAATTCCTGTTGGTTTTTATTATTTTTTTTTTTAAATTTAATTTTTATACTAAAACTTACTCGAAGTCAGATACCTTTAATTTTTAATGCAAGCGTATAAAATCAAAATAGAACAAAACATTAATATGTTTTATAAATTATACCAATTAAAAGTTCGTATGAATTTATATTTTTATATGCTCATAAAAATTAAAAATGTTAAAGCAATAATATTATTTTATAAATTTTGTACTATTTTTTTTAAAACTTTATAAATTATTTGAGCATATTAAATAGTCATTTTGACTGTTTTTGCCTTTCTGAACATGTTTGTACTTTTAATTTAAAATGGCAAGATTTTTACATATTTCCTGAAAATTAATGAATGTTATCGAAACTTATTTTCAATTGTTTAAAATTGAAAATAATCGAAAAATATACAATACGCAGTCAAAATGACAGCTAGTAAAATTTTGCTTTTCTGTCAATCTTCGAACTCGTGTTTTATAAAAAAGAAACGAATTTTATTCTTTCACATAATTTAACTGTAGGGGAATCTCTTTTCTTTTATCTATTTATTCAATATTTCATACTCAGGTAATGCCAAGAGCTACACATTTTTCCGTGAATTTAATTCTCGCCTTTCGTTTTTTTTGTTCTTGTATTTCACATTTTGAAAGAGCTGTGTTTGCACCCGGACTACATTATTTATTCGCATAGAAGAATATTTATAAATTCTACAAAATTTTCTAAAAAACGAATCAGATTGCTGTGCACAAACCAGCATTTCCGTTCAAGAAAGGCCAGATGTAGATTTGCGCAATATGTGACTAAAACCAGGCAATGTTAGAGCACAATTTTGATTCAGAAACAAAATTTGCTTACTATTCTTTTTAAAAGGTAGACCGTGAATAGAAAGTTTGATAAAAATTGTATTTCGAAACTCTGAAATCCTTATTTGAAAGCTTCCAGANGCAACAAGGGTCAGAATCATACATAAAAGGACTTTACATTGAAATATTTAGTTGAAATCAAATACTGAAAAATTATATACTAATTAACAAAGATTAATTTAACAACGAAGCTGAGTGTTGAAAATAATATTGATGATTTATAATAACATCAAGGAATAATTTATCAAGGAAGTTGAGTTGTGTTGAAGAGGATGTTGAACATTTATAATAGTATCAAGGAATAATTTGTCAAGAAACTAGAATCGTGTTGAAGAATATGTCAATAATTTATAGTAGTATCAAGGAATAATTTATCAAGTAAGTTGAGAGTGTTGAAGACGTTGATGATTTATTATAGTATCAAGGAATAACTTATCAAGGAAATTGAGAGTGTTGATGAGCGTGTTGAAAACGGAGAAATGTTCACGAATGTTTGTAAAAATTGACAAAAGATCGAAGCAGATCAACTATAGAAACTTCTTACAACAATAAAAAATCATATTAATAATATTATATTGATAAAAAAGTATTTTCCAGTCAGATAAACAATTTATGGAACTCATTTTAAAATAATACCAAATAGATAAAAGGATACTAAAAAAAAATTTTGCGGCTCATTTTAAATAATATTACGCTTTCTATTTGAATAACCCACTTATACTTAATAGATAGGTCCTTAAATCTAATTTTTTATTATGTTTGGATATAATGACATCTTACATAAAATATAATACAAATTTTAGAAATTTAAAAAAAAATGCTACTTTTTATGTGATTTGCTTCATAATTTATAAGCTGTAAAATAGTTTTTTTCCATTTTACTTGTTCCAAAGTAATAATAATTCCTGTATTCTTAAGTATATGCTATTCAATTAAACAAATCAGAGTCAATTTTTGATTCATAGTTAGTATAATGGGATAATAGCGTGTTGCATTAATAATAATAAAGTTCGAGAGAAAAAAAAATCAGCGCGAATTAAAAAAAAAAAAGGTTTTAAACAACGATTCAGTAAATTTTCAAAGTTTTTTTTTACATATTTCTAATAAATATAAATTGAGATTATATTGTTAATATATTTTGTAACCTTCAATCTTTTATTACAAAAATACATTAATTAAATACTTAAATTTCAGCAAAATATGTGAATTCACATCGTTTTAATGTACAAAAATTATTAAAATTCCTAAACGGTTGAAATATTAAATTATAATGTACATATATTTGTATTTTATGTTTTTTAAATATTAATATAAAACTTATTTATACAAAATTTAACTTAAAGTAATATATTTCAATTAAAGTGAAAATTTTTTTTTACCAATATGGTAAAATGTTTGCATAAAAAGTTTCAGTACAAATTGCACATTCCTTTTTGAAAAGTATAAAATATTGATATAATTAAGAAAAAATTATTGAACAATGAAAATAATTGAAAAAAAGAATAAAACTGTCTATTAAATCCAGCTCCTTGTAGCATTAAATTGTGCAACTTTTTTATTGATAGGAAAGCAAAACTAATGAAACATTTTTCTTTAAAGGCAACTAAAATTGGCCACTGCTGACTCAAATAAATTGACAATGAAATATAAGTTTAGCAATTCAGATTTTTTTTTACATAATAGGTATTAATGAAATGAAATACAAATTGCTTATTTTTTCTTAATCACACAATTTTATTAAGAATATTCAGTGCAAATTACACATTCCTTTTTAGAAAAGTATTAAATATTGATATAGTTGCTTAAGAAAAAAGATTATATTGCTTAAGAAAAATATTTATATACTTCTTACTAAAAAAATAAGTGCCAATCACCCATGCTATTTAAAAAAATAACAAAATTAGATACAAATGCTCAAGTCAAAAATATTTAAGTATTTTTATTAAACAGTAAAAATAATTAAAATTTAATAAATTAACTTTTTAGATCCAAATTTTTGATTCACCCCATTCTCAAACATTTAGTACCTAAAGTAACTAAGCTTGAGTAAGTTGAACACAAATAAGGTGTCAGTAAACTATTAAGTTTTACCCATATGGTAAAATATTTCTTAACTTATTCTAAAATAATTTAGAACCAATTGCCAATTCCTTCTAAATTAAAATATTAAAATGAGTTATAGTAATTTATTCACAAAAATAAATAGCATATTTTTATGAAATTATAAAAATATCTAAAAGAATATTAAATAACTTGTTAGATTTATCTTTTTAATACAGTCAGTCGTCAAACATTTCTTATCTAAGGTAACTATAGTTGGGTTTTTTCAACACAAATATAGTGTCAATGAATTATAAGTTTTATAAGTATGGTAAAATATGTATATTATTTATATTAAGAGACCGAATTCTTTTCACAAAAAATTCATAATATGAGTCATGGTAATTTAAATGAAAAATAAATTACAAATTTTTAATAAATAGGAAAAAAAAATTACATTTTTTTTAAATAACCTGTTTCATTCATCTTTTTTGATGCAAGAAATTTTGAAGCAATTATTACCTTGGGTGACTACATTCGCCCACTGTCCTCACAGCAATGATTAAAATCAAAAGTAAACTGCTTTCCATTCTGTTTACAAATATTCCCTTCATTAAAAGGAAAAAATTCCTTTAAAAAAAGACCTTAATGAAAACTTAGTTTATTACTTAGGGTAAGTGAACTTGACAAATATGAAGTGTAAGTCATAAGTCAAGTCATAAGTTTTACGAATATGGAAAAATATTTCTGCAATTTATATTAAAAAAAATATAGAAATAGCTGAAAATTCAGTTTATAAAACATTAAAAAAACGAGTTATGGTAATTTAAATTAAAAAAGGAATTTAAAAAATTAAGGTAATAAATTTTTTTAAATAACCTGTTGGATTCATCTTTTTGATTCATCCATGTTTAGCTACTCAGGGTAACTAAATTTGGCAAAAATCAAGTGCCAGTAAATTATAAGTTATATGAATATGGTAAAATATTTCTATAGATTATGTTTAAAATAATAACTGCAAATTCCTTTCACAAAAATTAATAAAACGCGTTAAGGAAATTTTAATAATTTAAAACACATTTTAAAAAACGAAAGTTATATAAAAATATTCAAGTAACCTGTTAGATTCATCGCTTTGATAAACCAAATTTTGAAACAATTCTTACCTAGGGTAACTAAATTCGGCCGCTGTCAGTGCAACAAGGGTCAGAATCAAAAATAAACTGCTTTCCATTCTGTTTACAAATATTCTTTTCATTAAAAGAAAAAAAATTCCTTTTTTCAAAAAATTGGAAGTCCCTGATGAAAACTTAGGAACTCCGGAATCTAGAGATCTGGGAGCCTTTAAACTGGATCTTCAAATCCTTGCTATCTCTCTTCGCTTAACGGCCTATGACGTCACAAGTGAGAGATTGGGGGAAATTGAACTTCAGGAACCAATGAGAGAATTTTTCAGTTTCACGTGATTCACAATTTCACATTGGTTTGCTTACAATTTACTAAAACGAGAAAGAAATTGTTCCGTCGTTATACTTATTTTGTTGGAAATATTTACGGCATTAGATATTTTTATTTTTATTTTTCATTCGGATGTTCTCTGAGGTCTATAATTTTGTTGATTTATTTTTAACTATAAAATTATATAAGAGGCATAGTTAATAATTTTTCTGTGGGGGAAGGAATAGTTTAAACTCTTTTATGAAGCAGATTTATGATTAAATTTTGAAGGAAAATATATGTGAGTTTTGTGAGATGAACTTTTCAAAACATGCTATTTAAATGCAATTTCTAAACCAAACACAATTAAAATAACATAAAAGTTATTGGGATATATTAGTGCTTATTTCAATGAAAGAAAGAATCATTTTTATATATGAATGAATTTAAATAACCAATGAATGAAAATCAAAACAATATGTAACTTAAAAATTTCAGTCCAAGTTATATGCCTGTAGTTTTAGAAAAAAATTGCTTATTGAAGTAGGGAAGAGTCGGGTAGCCCCGCCCACTGTCAATTCCATATGTATAGAATATTTTTTCAAGTCAATGGGAAATGGGATATTAATTGTAATATTAAAAAAAAGATTATTTTCAGAGTTTCAAGTATTTATGCAGCTGTTAATATGGTAAACAATAGTTTTGAAAATATGTTGAATACAGTAGTCATGAAATTAAGAAAAATTGGTTGAATGTTTCGATTAAACTTCATTTTAATACTAAAAAAATAATTTTTTCTATACATACAGCATTAAAGTATGTAGTCTTAAGTTTAATTTGCACAAAGAAAGAAGTTAATATGTGAAAAATTGTTCGAGTAATTACAAATTTACAAAAAAAATTGGATTTCGGGTAGCCCCGCTCACATCATGAATGTCGGGTATCACCGCCCAATTTTATTTCGTCCATAAATGTACGGTTGCAAAGATTATTATTTTATTGCTT